GATGCTGGTGACCACAAAGGCAAGGAAGACTGGTGGTAACAGCACTCGGAGAGGTACAGTCCAGCAGGGAATTTTAGCAGGGGACAGTGAGTCTTGTGTAAGGGACAGAGTTGTCCAGTAGTGGAAGAGGCTGATTGGTAGGAGTTTGAGATCTGAGGTTGAAAGGCCTCAGTTAGGGGGACTGTTGTGCTATTGTAAGTGTTCTGAGCATCTGAATGTGCACAAATGTCTGTTGATTAAATAAATAGTATATGTATTATCATTTCCAAATGTATGTGATTAGAAGATGCAATTTTATTTAAAATATTGTTGAGTTCACAGTGAAAATATGTGTTCTCAAAGGATATTGAAAGTATTAATTCTAACATATGTGAAGGCCAATATAATTTTTTGGCGTTAAAAGGGGTCTTCAGATCCAGAGAGGGGTGGGTGCCATGGTGATGTTGGACAGGCGAGCGAGGCCTCTGCCAACCCCAACTTCACTGATCCCATGAAGAGGAGTCAGGATTCCACTGGAGGAGAAAGCATTAAAACTAGATCATGAAAACCTTCCTTGGGACAGGGTGGTGCCTTGCTGGCCTGGGCAAGCCAGGAGATTTGATGAATTGCTTTCCATGGGGATCCTGAGGAGTAGGAAAGGCTGTGTGTGTGTGCCGGGGTGGGTGGGTAATGCCTCCAGGTAGAGGAGTGGACTGGATAGCCTCCTGTCTGCAGCATCCCATGAGGCCCTGATTTGACACATTGCAATACAGTGACTCACTCTTTTCTCCATGGAGAAAGTACTTAAGATACTTAGTTAAGCTTCAAATAATCCAGGTGTTGGGGGTGAGTATAAGCCAATTCTACTTTCTCAAAATATTTATTGAGTTCCCCAAGTACAGAGAGTTGAGCCTGACTATCAAGGATTTTAACTCACTGATTGGTTCCTCCCCTTCCATCACCTGCATCACTCATGACTCTCTAATCAGAGTTGACATTCTAGCTCTGCTAATGTATTTCCAATCCGTTTTGTTTTTTGTTTCCTTGTGGGCAATGTCTTCCCCACAATCCTGCCTGCAGAATAAGAATAGATTAAGCCCCCCTTCCAACACTTTCCACCACCTGCTGGGGAGGTCCCAGATCTAGGACTAGCTGATGACAATCCTGGTGATGACTTTGCTTCTCAAAGATTCTTCTCCAAGTGACTTCCCTCTAAAAAATGACAAGTATAGCTCAGAATCAGTGGGGCTCTGGTGATGGCTGGTATCTGCCCCAGTGGGGGACAGTGAGGTACCTTGATTCACTGTGGGTTTAAGAATCCCTAGAGGCTCATCACCCTGGACTTCATGTCCCACATCTGGCCGTACAGCAGTCTCATTCTGTCTGGCACAAAAGTCAGGCCCTCCATCCTGTTCTCACTCACTTCCCCAGCATCTTCTCCTATAATCCCTCTCTGCTCAGGCCAGGCCTATCTCATCACTGTATTGACCAGGGCTCATACTTGCAAATATGAACATCTATTCTTAGTGTAATGCAAGGTGAAAATAATTTATTAAAGGCCATTGTTACTCATGGCATCTCTGGGAGCTCTGTAGCTGCGAACCGCACCCAGTCACACCTGCGGGCTGCTCTGGTGAAAACATTGTGATGACTGCTGCTGGACCCATGATACTTGAGGCAAAATGACAAACTCCACCTCTGCCCATGCAGATCCAGATGTCTCCATCACCATGCTCTTCAGAAAGATCAATTTCTCTCTCCATGGCCAAGTCTCACAAGGGTTTATTTCATTGGGAGATTGCAAGTCCTGGCTTCTAGCTGCAAAGGAGCTTGGGAATGTGCTTTTTAGATTTTACCCCAAGAAGGTGGGGATCACAATGTGGAAAATGACCAAACCGAAGGAAGGGTGTTTTAAAGATGTTGTGTAGCCACAAATGACAAAGTCTCCCCGCAGTCTTCACTTCCTAAATCCGACTGTGCTTGTTTTCAATGCTGAGCCTTGGCTCATGACCACCTGTGCTGAAATGCCTTTCCTTCTGTCTGTCCAAACCTGCCCTCCTTAAAAGTTTGAGTTCATGCCTCTTCTCGAAGCCTTCCCACATGATTCCACTTTTTCATTGCTTTTTGATTCCCCATGCTCTCACAGCACCTGCAACATAGCACTCAGTTTTACACAGTCTTGTATTGCTTGGTTTGTCTAGATTGTGAGCTCTTTGTAAACCATTCTCTCTACCACATGGCGACGGAGGGAGTCTCTGCTCAATAAACACTCCTTATATTTGTTCACTGATTTCTCTTTGTTGGGCTGGAAGCTGAGGACTGCATCCCCTCACCCAAAGTTGTGGAGTCGATATGATTTCTGTCTACCCAGCCCCAAGCTGTGCTCACATTCCCCGTGGGGCCTCATTGGATAATTTGCAAATAAAAGCATTACATTGGGTGGATTCTTTTGATAGGTATGAAAGTTGAAATTTTGTGTGAATTGCAAACAAAAATAGTTAAAAATAATGGTGAACACTGATTGAACACCTACAACGTGCTAGGCACTGTCTAGGCATGACAACAACTCTATGAGAGGGGTACTATTAATAACTTAATTTTATAGGTAAGGAAACGGAGGCACAGAGAGGTTAAAGAACTTGCTCATGGACATGTAGTGACAAAGCTGAGATTTAAAAACTGGGTCTGTGTACACCCGAAACTAATATAATGTATATCAATTATACCTCAATTAAAAAAACAAATTAACTTTAAAAAACTGGATCTGTTTGGCTCTAAAGTGCATACTCTTAGATAGTAAGAGAAAATCTAGCTTAATTTCTGTGATATGTTTATTCAAACACTTGACAGAGATTTCATTCCTCCAGCTATGTTCCTGCGAGACGCAGAGGGGCAGAGATGATTGATCATCTTAATGGTTAATGATGCTGATGCACAGAGAATTTAAGCAGCCTTGGCCATGGGTAGTCATGGGGAGGATCTGGCCCAGCTCTGGGTTTGGTTCATTCTTTAAACTCTGGTTCCTTTGAGGGAGCAGAGATGAGGAGGGTGTATGTGTGTGGCTACCCTTTGGGCCTTGGGCTAATTTCACAGGTCATTAAGCATTGGGCAGCAGCTCTGGAAGATCAGGGCTGTAAGTCAGACATGCTAGAGCGGGAACCCCAGTACTGGGCAAGGGACAGATTATGTGACCTTGAGTGCCCAGTCAACTCCAAGTTGATTCTGTGATTGACTGGTTCTTGTTACTGTGATTCTACCCCATTTTCCCCTGGGGAGGAGGTGACACTCACTTTGCATATACATTTTCTTAAATCTGAACACCAAATGTGAGGGGTCTGGATTTCTCATGTTGAGATGATCTCAATGAGCTGGGGCTGTCTCACGTAGTGAGATTTGAACTAGCTTTAGACCAGTTTTATTTGGTTGTAATTCAGGACTAAGGTGCGACTCATTCATTAGTTCATTGACTGGTTGATTCATTCGACCAAACTTTATGAGCATCTACTATGGGCAAAGCACTGTGCTGGGAACCAAGGGATCCAGTATATTAACAAGACCGTAGGCCCCTGGAAAGTTTATGGCCTTATTCTGGGAAGGGGTTAGAATGTCACATAGTCTGGGGGTAACAAATGGGGGTAAGAAGGACAAAGTGGGAGAACTAGGCCACTGAAGAACACTTTACTTCCTCTGTTCTTGGGCCACCTAGAACCCTTCCCGGCGAGCGTTGGAGAACCCCTGTTCTTCCCTCCTTTCTGCCCGTCCTGAGGAGGCTCCTGCCAAGGCCACACAAGGCCACACCCTTGGTGGGGCCTAATGTGCAGCAGACAGAAGGAAAAAAGACCTGTCCTGGAGAGCTAAGTGGCTGCCTTGGCAGGCTCCAGAGCCACGCAAGAAGGCTTTCCTCTTGTATAAGCCCAAGCCCAAGCCCAGTCTTTAAGCCTCTATAAAAACATCAGGCTGGCAGATCCTCAGGCTTTTGGAGTCAGATGCACATGGTAGTGCTGCTGGCCCTGCCAGGTCTGGCCTCTGGAGGCTGGCAGGTGGGTCTGGATAGCGAGGCCCCTTCATCAGAGGACAGTCCCGCAGAGGCCCTGTGGTCTTATTCATGACTGAGTCTCCAGTACCTGGTACAGCTAAGCAATGTGCACAATTTGTTGAAGCTGTGGTAGAACTGATGTTTGAATTTCCAGTTCCCTGGGACTTGAACTGACACCAGAGAAGTACCAAAAAATGTGGGCAGGGGCAAGAAAGGAAGCCAAGATATGGAATAGTGTAAGTTTCTCTGGGAAGTTTTCAAAACAAATAAGCAAACAAATAAACATTTTGCATGTTGAATCTTGCTACTATCTCATCAAAGCGCATAGGTATTAACTGCCCTTTTTCTCAAAAGATAGTCATGAACCCAAATGCCGCTGCCTCCTGAATTATACCCTGGGACAGAGGGGGAACCAGGAGGCAAATCTATGATGGCTCTGGGCTTTGTATCCAGGAAGGGAGGAAGAGGTCACCAGTTCATCCCTGAATCCAGCACAGAGATGGGCGCACAGTGGGCACCCAATGGCATGTGCTCATGATGGAGTGAGATGTATCACTCCTTCTATTCAGATATTTTCCTCAAGTCCTTGGCTGGGCTTCAATGTATACTACCCAGATAACCAGAATCTCCCCAACCCACCTTCCGCGCCATCCTTTCCAGAGCTGAGCTCAGCTCTGGTAGAGCCAAGAGTACCTGACGCAGATGAGCATGCCTTCTGGGTCCTGTCAGATAAAGCTGCAAGGTGGCCATGCCCAAGCATGGGGTAACGCCAGGCTCCACCCCTGCCAGGTAAACCTGCCACCTTAGCATTTTTACCATTTCAGATTATTTTCAAGGTGTGTTTAGCAGTCTGGAACAAACTTATTGCCTTAGAGGCAAACCCAACCCATGACTATTTGGGATTAACTATCTCTCCTTAATTTGAGCCCAGCAACCTCTTAGATGTATATAAAGGGATTTATTCTGCAGAGATCTTTAGTTTCTTTCCCTCTTCCTCTGACTCTAGGTTTCCCTGCTTCACTCTCACGCTCTCTCTTCATCAGGTCTCACCATGAACAGACAAGTCTGCAAGAAATCCTTCAGTGGTGGGAGCCAGGGCTTCTCCGGCCGCTCTGCCGTGGTCTCCGGCAACAGCAGGATGAGCTGTGTGGCCCGCTCTAGGGGAGCCGGTGGAGGAGCCTGTGGGTTCCAGAGCGGGGCAGGTGGCTTTGGCAGCCGCAGCCTCTACAACCTGGGTGGCAACAAGAGCATCTCCATCAGCGTGGCCGGTGGCTCCCGGACTGGAGGCTTTGGGGGAGGGCGTAGCAGCTGTGGCAGTGGCTTTGGTAGTGGCTACGGAGGTGGCTTTGGTGGTGGAAGAGGAATGGGAGGTGGCTTTGGAGGGGCTGGTGGCTTTGGTGGAGCTGGTGGTTTTGGTGGTGCTGGTGGTTTTGGTGGAATTGGTGGTTTTGGTGGGCCTGGTGGCTTTGGTGGGCCTGGTGGCTTTGGTCCTGGTGGCTTCCCTGGGGGAATCCAAGAAGTGACTGTCAACCAGAGCCTCCTGCAGCCTCTCAATGTGGAGATCGACCCTCAGATTGGGCAGGTCAAGACCCAGGAGCGGGAGCAGATCAAGACCCTCAACAACAAATTTGCCTCCTTTATCGACAAGGTGAAGGAGCTCTGACTGGGCCCCCTTTTTAGGCTGGGTGGGAACTTTGAGTTTGATATTTAGACACAGCTTTTAGGATTAATTCTGGACGGGCCAGGCTGAGGGGGGTTAGGCAGCATTCTATGAAGATATTCAGGGCCAATAAGCTTATCCACATGAACTTGTGTGTAGGAAGGGCAGTGGTCCTCTATTTGGGCCCAGACATCCCCAGGTCCTGCTTGTCTGATTCTCTGCTCAAGTATTCCACTTGCTGTGTTAGCTAGGCTTAGGCTGGCAGAGCTGGCAGCGCATGGCAAGGGCCATGACCACTGACAAGGAAGGGTCTGACGCAGAACTGGGGGCTTTTAAAATATAAGCTGCCCTCTGAGGCTTTCCATGGGGTTTGTTCCCTATATGTCTCTGCCAGGCAAAGGAGGTGGATGCCCAAGAGAAGGGATTAAAGAGACTTACATGGAACCTTAGTCCCAAGGGCTGTACAGAAGCTGGCAACCTTGTCTGCACCCCTAATCAACCTTGCCAGGAAGAGAGGGGTGGTCACTGACTTCCAGACTATAATAGTTCACACTGGCTGTCTCTCCCCTGTCATGATGATTATGACATTTTAATCAGTATCAGTTCCCAGTGACTCACATCCTTTGAAGGATCGGAGTGTCAGTGGAGCCTTAGATGGAAAAGAAGCTGCAAGGTTAAGTACATTTTTGCAGAGTGCACTGTATTTTTGGAAGTTATGTTGAGCCATAAAATCACCGGGAGCACTGGGGGGTCATCTTTACTTCTGTGTCCAGGCAGGGGCTCCTTTAAGTTTCCCTGCCCATTTCTCCTTCTTCTGTGACTTTTCCAAACATGCTGCACTCTTAGTAGCCTGACTGATGGGCCTGTCTTACCACATCCTCTCCAGCTACAGTAAAAATCCATCTTCACGTCCTTTCTAGGCCTCTGTGCTAGGGCATGGGAAGATAACAGACACCTGTCCTACCTGAGCCAAGGCCTCTTTGATCCTCTGTTGCAAGTATTGCCTGATGTTTTCCTCAATGCATTGCAGGTGCGGTTCCTGGAGCAACAGAACAAGGTCCTGGAAACCAAGTGGAACCTGCTCCAACAGCAGGGCACCAATTCCATCACAGGCACCAACAACCTTGAACCCCTTTTTGAGAACTATATCAGCTCCCAGCGAAGCTACCTAAACAACATCCTGGGAGAGAGAGGCCGCCTGGACTCAGAGCTGAGGAACATGCAGGACCTGGTGGAGGACTTCAAGAAGAGGTGAGTGACGGGCAAGAGTGGGCAGATCCATGGGCTACCCTGTCTCAGAGTCCCAGCCCTTACTGTATTCCTCCTGCCTGCTGGCCAGTGGTGTTACTTAGACTATTTTCCTCTCTTCATCTTCATAGAGGACAGTTTGGTTCATTAGGTTCCCCTCACCTTCCTCTTCAAGGATAGTCCTTAACAAATGAAGCTATGGCAAGCAGGATGAGTGTAGAGTTGAAGAAGCACTTCTTCAGGAGCCAGGTTGGGGAAGATCCTGGTTCTAGGATCTGAAGAATGCTGGGATAACTCATGGTGTATTGACCAACCATCCCAGTTTTCCCAGGACAAGAGACTTTCAGAGTTAAAACCGAGATAGTCTGCCTGGACAAATTGAAATGACTGGCACTCCTAACTAACAGGGAGGTGGTAAAAAGTATGTGTTCATCTAAGTGGATTGGGAGAGGGACAGAGGGCTGGAAGAGATGAATTTTCAGAGTTTCAGGGAATAGTGTTGTTTATGACTCCCTCAAAACCCAACCTCAGCTACTTCTTTGTAACTCTTACAGATATGAGGATGAAATCAATAAGCGTACAGCTGCTGAGAATGAATTTGTGACCCTGAAGAAGGTAAGGGCTGTATGAAGTTCCTGGGGCTTGTAGGCACAGATTTCTGCCTGGGTTGGAGGGAATCTCCTTGTTCCACAACCACAGAGCCACCAAGTTCAGGCAGTTGGAGCAAAAAATAGAAGCCACGTGCATCTTAGACTGGAAAGATCCTTCAATAAGTCAGTTCATTTGTTTTTAGTTTTTAATAGGGTTGAACTTATACCACCTCACTGAAGTGTGAATCACCTCTTCATGTGGAGATCGGCCTCTGACAAGGACCGAACAATCACCAGCCCTGGTTCTCCTGACTCTTTCTTGCTGTTGTCATGGTTTGTTGTTTGGTCCTTGGGAGACTAAGGCCTTTGTGCTTCTGTCTTTCTCAGGACGTGGATGCCACCTACATGAACAAGGTGGACCTTCAGGCCAAGGTGGATGCCTTAATTGATGAGATCAACTTCCTGAAAACACTCTATGACATGGTAAAAATGTTTCTTACTAAGAGGGAGAGAGAGGAAGGGTGAGATGTTTTTAGATTTGAAGCTGGGGCATTTAGCATCAGGGCCTGGAAAGACTGAGCCTAGAGGTAAAGCCCCTTGTTGGGGTTCTGCAGGATGGGCTGCATACATAGGGTTCTCTGAGGGGCTGGGGAACATGGTGGGGCTAATGTACATTCAGAGCTGAGTCAGTGAATGGAACTGTTGATCAAAAATCTCTCTGGGCCTCTGTGTGCTTGTTATAGAGGCCCTGAGAGTGAACAAATCCCTCTGTGTTGGCAGGAGCTGTCCCAGATGCAGACCCATGTCAGTGACACATCCGTAGTCCTGTCCATGGACAACAACCGCTGCCTGGACCTGGACAGCATCATTGCTGAAGTCAAGGCCCAGTATGAGGAGATTGCTCAGAGGAGCAAGGCCGAAGCCGAGTCCCTGTACCAGACCAAGGTGGGAGCTGGGCACCTCTTAGAGAATCCACTGAGGGTCTCAGGGAGTCTGAGGCCTGTGAGACTGCTGGGTAATGAGTCCCCAGTGTCATTTGGTAGACCTCTCTTGGTTTTACTCTCTGAAGACATCCCTCTAATGGATGGTTATTCAGCTGTAGAAAGTGCTGCCCCTGGGGGTAGGTGGCTCCACTGTCCCCTGCCATGACACATGGGGCTAACTCTAGCTTGCTCAGGGATAGCAGGGTAGAAGAATCTTCTACCATGACAACTCAGATGTGCTTTTCCCTGCTGCCTCAGAGGTGTAAAGTAACTCAATGTCATTTTAACAAATGCTTACTAAGCACCTCAAGTTTGGGTGAGTATTGTTAGGAATAGGGAAACAAGTCAGGCAAAGCTGAACACCTCCTCTTCGCTTCTGTTCTCCAGCTGGGAGAGCTGCAGACCACAGCCGGCAGACACGGGGATGACCTGAAGAGCACCAAGAGTGAGATCATGGAGCTCAACAGGCTGATCCAGAGGCTGCGGGCTGAGATTGAGAACGCCAAGAAGCAGGTGGGATGGTAATGAATGCTAGTGCCTGGGCTGACTAGTGAGGGGTAAGGGCTAGGATCTCAGGATTCACAGTCTGATGTGAACTTCTGGGGTCATCTCAGGCAGCATTGGCTTCCAAGGGAGTTTAAATACAAAGCCAGTCTAGATGGCTGGTAATCCATAGGAGAAATATCTCCACGGATGCAGACAAAGTAAGGAAGAGATGATGTTGCCTGACTTTAAGAAGCTTACTCTAGGATAATCTATTCTAAAACTCAGAGAGCCTGGGACCTTCCTACTGGGCCTGATGTTTCTCCTTCCTCCTCCTTCCCCAGAACGCCAACCTCCAGGCAGCGATCGCAGAAGCTGAGCAGCGTGGGGAGATGGCCCTCAAGGATGCCGATGCCAAGCTCCAAGAGCTGCAGGCTGCCTTACAGCAGGCCAAGGATGACATGGCCCGGCTGCTGCGTGACTACCAGGAGCTGATGAATGTCAAGCTGGCCCTGGATGTGGAGATCGCCACCTACCGCAAGCTGCTGGAGGGCGAGGAATGCAGGTGGGCCTCCAATTCCAACTTCCCATCTCCCCTGACCCAAGTCATATGCTGAGGGCTAGATAAGTGACAAAATGTATGGGTATGGAGGCCTGATGTGTAGAGAGAACCTCCCCTCCTCCCACAGGCCTTGCAGAGAAGCACTTGTTGTTACTAGCTCACTGTCTCCACAGTTAGTCAAAGCAATGTGTAGCCAGTGTTGTGTGTACACGGAGGGTCTCTTTGTTGTGGCCCATTAGAAAGGTGGAAAAAGGGGCTGATCTGCCAGGCTTCTTAATTCAGTTCTGGTTGTTAATCATCACCTTCATTCATGGACTTGTTGGAAATTTGCTTTGTGATGGAGCTTTCTCTTGCTTTCTCATACAGGATGTCTGGAGAGTGCGAGAATGCTGTCAGCATCTGTAAGTAGCCAAAGTAACCATGACAATAAGAAATGAAGTGGAAATATCTGTAATAAAGAAGGACAGTAGCAACTAATTTAAAAATATTTCTATGGGAGTTGGAGGTGGAAGGGGCAGCAGATATGATTTTGTTATTGTTCTGGGTCAGGGCACTATTATTAGGTCTATAGCATGGGGAGTATCCAATAGGGAGCCTGATGGGAGGAGAAATTATGATTAATCTTCAAGGGTGTCATTAAGAGTTGATGGTATGTAGAAGGAACCACTGGACAATTCACGATGTCTTAACACTATGGAGCTGAACACCTTATTACATTAGAATGTATCACTCTTAATGATCATCAGGTGCAAAACTGCCCTGATGGCCTCTCAATCACCCTGGGCCCAGGGGCTCATTAATTATAATAGTGTCCTGAGCGCAGGGCGCTGACGGCTGATTGCTGTACTATCCTCTCCCCCGCAGCCGTGGTCAGCAGCAGCAACACGACCTCGGCCTCGGCAGGTGGCTACGGAGGCGGTTTTGGCGGGGGCTTCGGAGCGGGAGCGGGAGCAGGTAGTGGATTCGGAGGAGGCAGTGGCTTCGGAGGTGGCAGTGGATTCAGCAGAGGCAGTGGCTTTGGAGGAGGCAGCGGCTTCGGCTCTGGTTCTGGGGGCCGCTGTGGGGTCAGTGGCGGAGGTTTCAGCTCAGGCAGCAACCGGGGCGGCAGCATCAAGTTCTCCCAGTCTTCCCAGCGCTGCTCCAGATAAACAGTGCGCCTGGGCACCATCGCCACTCCAGCGCCTCCTGTCCCCATCTGCTCCTCCCCTACGACAGATGGCTGCTGTTTGGATTTAGAAGATGGAGCCTCATGCTCCTCAATCCAGATCCCTGGCCAAGCACAGCCATGAGAATTTCAGGCTCTCTCTGGCTCCAGCCTGTTCATGTGATTGTTCAGGTGTGGCCTTAGCCACTACCTTCCGCTGCCCTTGGGGTCCCCTCCCTGGGTGGGATGGTCACCACAGTTCTGATGTGTGTAACACACAGGTCCCTTTACCCATCTGTTCTTTCGCCAATAAAGTGCATTGTATTTCACATCAGGCCTCTGAGTCTTCTCTGGGTGTCGGTCTCTCCCCTGGAGTGACTTCTCTCATCCTGTCCCACCGAAGGCTGTGTGCGTTCAGAACAGCTGGAGTCCTTTCCTCCCAAACCAAGGCAGCTAGTTCCCATTGTCCATTGCATGGGATATAAATGGGCACGATCAGGTTGTTCATTTATCCTTTGAGCACCAGGGGAACAGCAGGGTCACACTCCAGGGGGCTGTGTGGCCTCACAGTTCTAGGGAGAAGGCTGAACCATGAGGATTTCCATCTCCTCCTGGCTTTCTCTCATTGGGGGGGCCTAAGAGGACCTTGAATTGCTGAGAGACTTGGGGACAGAGGATTTCTTTCCTTGGTGCTGTCCCCACTCCAGCTGACATCCTGAAAGCTTTCCCTCATCAAAGTGCACCTGGGAACACCTGAGCTGCCAGAACCCCAGGGCTGTAGGGATTTCCTGAGAGCCAACTGCCTCAAAGTCTGACCCTCAGAACCCCAGTTTGATGGGAGCTCTGCAAAAAAAGTTGCCTGTTCATTAAATCTTCCCTCTTTGGAGCCCATATTAGAGGTTCAGAGAAGTCTTGTAGCAAAGAATACCTGTTAGCTATCTTTAACCCAGCATGTTCCAAAGAGTCCCCTCCCGCCCCCTCACCATGAACAACTATTAACCACCTGCAGAAAATGCCCTGCACCCGAGCACTGTCTGCATGCACTCTGGGCCCCCAGGTGTGAGCGCCAGCCCCGGGAGCTCTTGGCGTCTGCCCTGCACCAGGAAGGCCTGACGCAGTGTTAGTTAGCCATGGGAGTGCTGTCTGGAAGGTCAGGGCTCAGGCACAAGGAAGCCAAGAACCTCACTGGCAAACAGGAAGATTGAGACTCTGACAGGTGGAGTGGCTTGCTTAGGCTCTTTGAGCATCTGAGGGTGTGAGCCCAGGGTACACCCAAGCATCGGAGTCCAGAGCTCCTTCCACCTCCCCACACTGTTTCTGAGGCTGCCTTGCTGCCTTCCTGGCATGGCCAGTTGCTTGGGGGCCCACAGAACACACAGGCTACGAAACAGAAATGCTTAGACAGGCCAGGCCAGGGAAGCAATACTTCTATCTTAGGCCAAAGCTGAATTTATTTCAGAAAAGGGGAATAACAGTTAAATAAATAAGGAAAACCAGCAACTGGGGCTGGAAGGCATCTGTGTGGCAATCCCATGTCCATGTTTGGCAGAGCAGTGCAGTTCAGTTCAGTCAGTGACAATCCCGCTCTGACCCTGGGAAGGCTCTTCCAAGGAGATGGGATTTAGTAATCGTTGCTTCATTTTGGGGCAGAAGGATGCTTTTTCTGGCTGGTATCCCTCTGTGGCCAAAGAGAGATAGGCAGGGAGACTCAATGCCTGCCCCAGCTCAGAGAATTGGTCCTATGGGAATGTGCCAGGCCAGTTATGGGACAACTGTGTCACTCTGGGTGAAGTCATTATTAATGAGTTCCTCTTTCACCCAACCTTCATTAAGTGTTCACTCTCAGGTACTCGGCTAAATGTTGGAGCTGCACTGGTGAGCAAAAACAAGATGTTGCCTCCTGCTCTCATTTCAACAACAAAATGAAAAATAAAAGAACTTCAAGTTGTGATTAAGTGTATGAAAAAAGAAACCAGGGGCTGAATTGGAGAAATGGCAAGACTTGTTAATGGGCTGGATGTTGGGGGTGGGGGGTGGATAGGAGAGCGGAGATTTACCAGGATGCCTGGTTTCCCAGGGTGAGCAGGTGGGTGGCTGGTGATGCCATCTACTGAGGTGAGAGGAGATGGCATGGGTCTGAGGAAGAACTCAGGGGGGACCTTGCTTTAGGCAAGTCTGCTTTGAGCTGCTCAAAAGACAGCGAGTGGAAATACCCAGACTGCAGGTGGAGATGTGAGTGTGGATTGATAAGGGAGGCTGGTCAGGGCTGGCGGCTCACATTTGGACAACATCAGTGTGAGGATAGTTAGGGGGCTTCCTAAAGCCATGGCACTGATGAGTTCTCCCGGAAAGGGAAGGGAGGCTGAGTTCCAAGGAAGCCCAGCATGTAGAGCGAGGGACAGGAGGACAACCAGCCAGGTAGTAAAGCTTGAGTTTTCCAGAATGCCTCTACCTAAGAGGTCAAGGGTTTCTAAATGGGTTCCAAGGGAAACCCAGAACAGGCCCAGTCTTCCTCGGGACACTGTCCACTTGTCTCAAGGCACACACCCAGACCTCTTGCCTTTGCCGCTCCTCCCTGCACTCTAACCAATGCCCACTGGCCCCTGTTCATTCGGTGAGGGTTTATAAGTGACCCCCCCTGCCCCACCTCAGTAGCCCTCTAGTAGCAGGGGGTGGGGAAATCCATGGAACTTCTCAAAGGAGAGAGTAGCCAGGAGGAATGGCACCATGGAGAGGGCTATTTCTAGGAGGTGTTATCATGCCAGAGGAATGGCCAGGCAGGTGAGCTTGGTGCCAGAACCTGAGACCGAAGGAGTTAATTCCATGCTTGGCTGGATATTTGCAGCCCAGCCCTGACCATTTCTAATTCAGGCTGAAACACCTCCGGGGAACTTTACCTGGTTCCTGAGTGTTCCTTCTCTTCCTTTCACCTCAGCATTTATAGAACTTCTTGTATGTTGGCTTTTCAAGTGCTCTTTAGTTGCTGGGCTTGGGTTTGCTTTCTTGTACTTGACTAGACTTTTTGTTCTTTGTGTAGGGAGCAAGTTGGTGCTGTGCTGTCCATTCTTGTCCTGTCCTCTAAGGCATGTTTTTGCCCACAGGGGAAACTCTAGAGATTGTTGAATAATGCTGACTTATACGCTTGGGTCCTAATCTGGGATTTGGGGCCATTGGTCAATGGTTAAGTACTTCTTTTGCTCTCTCTGCTTTGTTCCACATCTCTTGTCCTTGGATGTGGAGTGATACATCCTCTTGTGATGACACAGAAGATGCAACTTCTATCCCCCCACTCCACTCCCACCCTCATTCATTCCTCTCTGCCCACTTCCCTCTTGAGTCTCCCTCCCCCAACTGGGAAGAACACTCAATAGCTCCTTCCTGTTCTATGAGCTTGTTGACTCACTGGTTCACCCATCCTTTGATGTTCAGGAGACCTGCATGTGTTTTAAGATTTCAGGTTATTTCTTTCTGGAATGCAGGTTACACTACAGGCCAGAACAATTAGCAGTGATGGTGACACAGTCACAAAAGGCTCAGTTAGGAAAATCAGGGGATTGTTTCTCACAAGAATCTGCTTGTGGATAATCCATCTGTGACTGTTGACGATGGAGGTTTAAATATAAAGTTTGGGGTAATTTGTAGGTGAATCTCTATATGATGCTTCTCTGTTGTGTCTAGGGCAGGGTGGGGTTTTTATAGCCAATCATCAGAAATCTTGTCTTTTGGAATTTGGCTGCTCCTTCTCTCTGCCTCTCAGCACTTTAGCCCAAGTACATTCTCTCTCTGCAGCCAGGACTAGGAATGTGGACGCCTTGCAACAATCCTGGGCTGACTGAGAAAAACTCAGAGTTCTGAGAACTCTTCTTCACATATTTTATCTATATCTGCACAAGCCCCTCTGGCATGCAAACTGCTTAACGCACATATCTTTTGTGCCCAAAATCAAGATAATTACCACTAATGCTTCTGCCTAGGCTGAAGGCTAGTTGGTTCTCCTGACCATTGATGGAGATAGAGTGGGAACAATCTGATACCTCTGGAACCCATGGTGGCATCACCAAATGGTGACAGCTTGGGCAACTCCTGGGGAAGATGGGGCAGGGAAGGATAGTCCTAGATGGCAATAAAGCAGTGATTCTCAGTGACAGCAATCCCACTGAGGGAATGTCTGACGGCATTTTTGGCTGTCACAACTGGAGTAGTGCTACGGGCATTTTGATGGTAGGGGTCTGGTTGCTACTAAACATCCTACAGTGCACACAACAGGCCCCACTACAAAGAACTCTCCAGTCTCAAATGTCAATAGAGCTTCTTTTGGGAAATCCTGCATCCAAGCAAGAGGTCATTTCATTCACCCGTCTCCTTAGGAAAGGACCATGGCTGTGATATTCGTTATAACTGAGCTGAATAGAGACCATTCTGAATTTGGGCAAGTATACATATCTAGAAGTTTGTTTTAAAATGGAAATGCCCTTTTATTCTGGGTAAAGACATAGGAAATGAGCCAGGTAAATATGTGGCCTTATGTGGGTACTTTCAAGACCTGAGCCTGCGATTCTGTTTTAAACCTGGCTGTTTAATGCCTCTGTGTCTTTGATAATCTGTCCCCCTGGCCAGGAATACTCATTCCATCTTCATTTTCTTGACTAGCCCTGGTTTCTCATTGAAGATCACTCAGGCACTGCCTCCTGAGTGCTTTCCTGGACCTCCTACGTGGCTCTGAATGTCTGTTTGTGTTCCCATTGCTCTCTGTTAGCCTCTTTGTATCACTTGCTATATTATATTAAAATGACTAGTTTCAGTGCCTGCTCTCCATACTAGAAGGGAAGTGGGTTCAAGGGATGGATGTGACTTCTTCATTTTTGTGCCTCTCAATGTCCAGCACAGGGCTTGGCACATTTAGGCACTCTGAATGTCACTGAGCTAATGAGGTACTTGAAAAGGACAGGTGTGTGTGTGTGTAGGGGGGACTTAAATGCAATTGCTGTCCTGACATATTTAACA